GATCGCTGAAGTTAACCTCACCGGTGACTCAGAAGGATGGTGGCTGGATACAGGTGCATCGAAGCATGTATGCAACAATCGTGCTAGGTTTAAAACATACACAGAAGCACCTGCTGACAAGAAAGTGTTGTTGGGGACTCCTCACACCACTATGGTTGCTGGTTCTGGTGAACTCAAGGATGTGTTGCACACTCTAGAGATAAGGAAGAATCTTATTTCGGGATATCTTCTTAATAAGGCTGGGTTTAATCAATCTATTGGGGCAGACTTGTATACCCTTACTAAGAATGGGAGTTTTGTGGGAAAGGGATATGCATGTAATGGGATGTTCAAGTTGAATGTCGAAATTAATAAGATGAATTCTTCAGTTTATATGGTGTGTGATTTGAATGTTTGGAATGCTCGTCTTTGTCATGTGAACACACGAATTGTGAAGAATTTAAGCAAGCTAGGACATATTCCTAAACTCTCAATGAATGAATTTGATAAATGTGATTTCTGTAGCCAAGCTAAAATAACGAAAACGCCCCATAAATCTGTGAGTAGAGAATCAGAACCCTTAGATCTGATTCATTCTGATATTTGTGAACTAGATGGGATGTTAACTAGGTCTAGCAAGAGATACTTTATCACTTTCATAGATGATTGCTCTGATTATTGCTTTGTTTATTTGATGAAAAACAAAAGTGAAGCCCTTGATATGTTCAAGGTATTTGTGGTTGAATTTGAAAATCAGTGCAATCTAAAGATAAAAAGACTTAGGAGTGATAGAGGATCAGAGTATGACTCTAATCCCTTCAAGGGATTCTATAGCTCACAGGGTATCATTCATGAAACCACGACACCATATTCACCAGAATTGAATGGTAAAGCTTAGCAGAAAAATAGGACGTTTACAGAATTAGTTGTGGCTATTATGCTCAATTCTGGAGCTGCTTCTTCTTGGTGGGGGTGATATTTTGTTGACGGTTTGCTATGTGCTAAACCGTCTTCCAAAAACAAATAGAAAAGAATCACCCTATGAGATCTTGAAGAATAAGCCACCTAATCTGTCCTATTTAAGAACGTGGGGTTGTTTGGCCTATGTAAGAATTCCGGATACTAAGAGGATTAAGTTGGCTAGTCGAGCATATGAATGTGTCTTCGTTGGCTATGCGGCCAATAGTAAGGCATATAGATTCTATGATTTGAATGCTCGTACTATAATAGAATCTATTGATGCTGATTTCTTTGAGACACGATTTCCATTTAAAAAGAGAAATAGTGGGGGTAATGTACTACCCGCTATTAGAGATAACGGAACTAGTGGGGGTGTTGGATCTGAGGATGAACTCAGAAGAAGTAAAAGAGCTAGAATCTCTAAAGATTTTGGTGATGATTTTACTACAGTATACACCCTCGAGGATCCAAAAAATTTGCAGGAAGCATTAACTTCCATAGATGCAGACATTTGGAATGAGGCCGTTATAGATGAAATGGAATCGTTAGAGGCTAATAAGACTTGGCATCTAAAAGACTTACCTCCTGGCTGCAAAGCCTTAAGTAATAAATGGGTTCTAAAAATGAAACGAAAACCTGATGGTGCAATCGAAAGGTTCCGAGCTCGCCTAGTAGTTAAGGGCTACAGGCAGAGAGAGAATATAGATTTCTTCGATACCTATTCACCAGTATCTAGAATAACATCCATTCGTGTCATGATTGCTCTTGCTGCCTTGAACAATCTCGTGGTACACCAAATGGATGTTAAGACTGCTTTTCTTGAACGATGATCTAGATGAAGAAATCAATATGGAACAACCAGAAGGATTTGTTATCCCCGAACATGCTTCGAAAGTCTGTAAGTTAGACAAATCATTATATGGTTTGAAACAGGCTCTCCAAAACAGTGGCATGAGAAGTTTGATACTCTCGTTCTCTCACGTGGCTTTAAGGTGAATGAAAGTGACAAGTGTATTTACGGCAAGTCAGAGAATAACACTTGTACTATCATATGTTTGTATGTAGATGACATGTTAATATTTGGTACAAATATTGTCAATGAAGCGAAAGCCATGTTAAAATAGAGCTTTGAGGTGAAAGATCTGGGAGAAGCGAAGTTTATGCTTGGAATCCAGATAACTAGAACAGCAAATGGTTATTCTCTAGATCAATCTAGCTACATAGAGAAGATCTTGAAGAAATATAACTATTTCGACTGTAACCCTGCGTGTACTCCATATGATGCTAGTGTAAAGCTATTTAAGAACATTGGAGACCGTGTAAGACAATCAGAATATGCTAGCATCATTGGCAGTCTCCGTTATGCTGTGGATTACACTCGACCAGACATTGCATATGTTGTGGGATTGCTTGGCAGGTTTAACAGCTGTCCTAGTAGAGAGCATTAGATGCTATAGAGAGGGTCATGAGATACCTCAAGAGAACAACAAACCTTGGTATACACTATCAAAGGTTTCCCGCTGTACTAGAAGGGTATAGTGATGCGGATTGGAATACCCTATCAGATGACTCCAAGGCAACCAGCGGATATGTTTTTAACATTGCTGGTGGAGCTGTGTCTTGGAAGTCAAAGAAACAAACAATCCTAGCTCAATCAACTATGGAATCAGAGATGATAGCACTAGCAACGGCTAGTGAAGAAGCAAGTTGGTTGAGAGGATTGTTGTCAGAGATTCCGCTATGGGAAAGGCCGGTCCCTCCTACATTGATACATTGTGATAGTACCGCAGCTATCGTTAAAGTTGAGAATCGGTTCTATAACGGAAAGAAATGACATATTCGTCGTAAGCACAGTACTGTAAGGGAACTCCTAACGATAGGAGCAGCGAGGGTGGATCATATAAGATCCGAACAGAATCTAGCTGATCCTTTGACGAAAGGATTACCTAGAGAGAAAGTCCAGAATACCGCCAAGGGTATGGGACTTATGCCTACCGAACCACGGACTACAAGTGATGGTAACCCGACCCAATAGACTGGAGATCCCAAGAAATGGGTTCAATGGGTAATAACAAGTCATGAGTAGTATGCGAAAAGTTCATGCATAGTGAAGCATGAATCCCAAAGAAATGGAGGTTGAGTTAATAACTCTTAATGAGGTCTATACCCTATGTGCGGTGGAGTACTTTACTTTGGGGGTACTCCTGATAGACTCACCTATGTGAATGTGGGAGTGGGGCCGCTCCCTATGGAACTTTGGAGGCACAAAGTTGCTAGAGCGTTCACTAAACCAGGATAGCGTGCATGGCCATAAACGCACGGGCTAAGAAGAGAACACAACTCAATGAAAAGATCCGGTGTGCTACACTGTCTGAGATAGGGTTCAAGACTACGAGTCACCCTTATGAAATCGGAAGTGTAACCACTACGCTAAGGTTCAAATCTTCGCGATACCTTAGCTTATGCCCGATCTTATGGAACTGTTGATGCTCAGAGATAGTTTCAAAACTATTCAAGTGGGGGATTGTTGGAATGTATATATGAATAGCTTTGAAAGCTATAGAGTCTCAAGTGGAAAAACTACCACATTGGTAGTTTTACTTGGTGAAATGTGTATAAAGATAGGAGCCTCTCTCCTAAGGGCATGCCCCTTGGGGTGACCCACTTTTGTGGGAGAGGAAGGACCTAACGGACCACCACACACGCGCGCGCTCCGTCCGTCCGTTCGGTCCGTCGGTCTGTTGGTTCACTTGAGACTATATATATATTTTTTGGAGAAATTCCGAACGAAATTAATTATCTAATTATTAATTATTAATCGGTTATTGTTAGGAATATTCTAAGAATAATCGATTAAAAAGGAATATTCGAAGGATAATCCCGCAGGATTTATCTTAACCGACGGTTTTAATTAAGGAAGTAATTATCTTCCTTAATTAATCCGACTTATTCCCCCAAGCAAGAGGGTATCTTAACATGACATGGGGATTTGTACTTCCTTTTGCTGTGCTTTGTTCCCCCAGGAGGCTTAATTACCCTACTATGTCTGGGATTTCTGCATTGGATTGTTTTTCTCCCTACTAGCATTCCATATCTGGTGTCCATTTTCAGGTTGAATAAATAGCCATCGAGTTGTTGAATCCCACTGTTCTTCGTTTTCCCTTGTGCGGGTTCATTGAAATATTGCTGATTGGTTATAGCTTTGTCCATCCGAGTTTCAGAGTTGGCAAACTACAGGCTTGTCTGCTACTTGTTTCGTTGGCTTGTTGGCTGCTTCTGTTCCAATGTTATTTTACTTGCTTTAGCTTTTGAAATTTCTGGAAACCAAGAAATGATGTCTGATGGAGAATTTTGGTCTTTTGTCATTTTCAAATTGACTTTTTGTTTTTTGGCAGTTGGAATTCTTGGTGACAGTTATAACATCACTGAATGTGCCGGAAGGATCTAATTTGCTTTTTTTGTTTCTGTGGAACATAATTGCTTGGTATTGTCTTTACGGATTCCTTTTTAACTTTTTTTGCAGCAACACCTGCTCAGGAAACCAGAAGGTAATGAAGCTCTTTTAGCTTATCAAGCTGCTGCTCTTCATGGAGTCATGGCTCATGGGTGGGGGCAATTTCGCCCAACCTCTGGGCTCAATGCAACTGCTTTAACAGGCAAGGAAGTTCTTTGATTTGGGTCAAGCTCAACAACGTGGCTCTTCTCGGGATCGGGAGAACATAAGTCAAATTCAAGACCAACAGGTTGTGGCTCCTGTGCATCAGGCATATCTCCAATTTGCTTTCCAGAATGCCCAACATAACCCTGGAATTTCCATGCCATCACAGCAACAAATGAAAATGGGAATGGCTGGCAAGGATCAGGATATGTGTATTGGAAATGTGAAAATTCAGGAACTCATGCCCATGTCGGGAGCTAATCATGCACAGACATCATCCTCGGGGAATCCATCGGAACATTTTCCTCTTGGTGAGAAGCCGGTGGAACAAGGAAAACAGCAAGGCCGTGATTAGAGGAACGAGCAAAAGCCTATTGCTCAGCCACCTATCACGAGGCAACAAATGCCTGGAAATGCTCCAAGGCAGATGCAGCCTCCACCAACTCAGCATGGAATGCAAAACCTTCCAAACAACCAGCTCATGGCTGCACAGTTTCACGCAATGCACACTATGCAAGCGCTGGCTCAGGAGCGTAATATTGACTTTTCGGTGCATGCCAATGCTAACTTGATGGCGCAACTCCTTCCATTGATGCAGTCAAGGATGGCTGCCCAACAGAAGGCAAGCGAATCCAATGTCGCTGTCCTTCCATTGATACAGTCACCACCATTGCCGCCACCGCGACAGCCGCAACAGCAAATTGCTCCTCAAGGTGTCTGTAATCAGGAGGGACCTGGTCAAAAGCCTTCTGACAAGCAAGTGAGGCATGTAGATTCCAGTGAGAAGGAAACTCGGTCAATGCCACTGGCAAATGGGCTAATTACTCCCAAAGAGGAAAATCTTGTTCGTGAGGAGAAATCAACAATGTTAGTGAGTCGAGTGCAAGTTTCTGGTGGTGCAATGCAGGAAACTACACCAGCGGGAGCTTCAACTAAAGAAGATCAGCAAAGTCCAATATTTTCCCCCAAGTTAGATCAGGACGCTGAACATGGCCCACAGAATATTCCCGTTGGAAATGATCTTCCAGCTGATAGGGGAAAGATAGTCGCTACACAGTTGCCTGTATCTGATGCAACTCAAGTTAGGAAACCAACACAAGCAAACACTGCATCGGTGCCAAAAGATTCTAATTATGCCAGAAAATATCATGGTCCGCTTTCTGAATTTCCATTTTTCACAAGGAAACATGACTCAATGAGTTCATCGGGTATGATTAACACCAATAACAACCTGACCCTGGCATATGATGTTAAAGATCTTCTTTTCGAAGAAGGCACTGAAGTTCTGAGCATAAAAAGATGTGAAAATTTGAGGAAAATTTGTGGTTTATTGGCAGTAAATCTTAAGCGGAAGAGGATCAGGCCTGATCTTGTGTTGCGGTTACTGATTGAGGAGAAAAAGCTCAAACTTTTGGATCTACAGGCACGCATACGAGATGCGGTTTATCCACAACAGCAGGAGATAATGGCAATGCCAGACAGACCTTATCGGAAATTTATTAGACTATGTGAGCGCCAACGGATGGAGTTGGCTAGACAAGTACAATCTTCTCAAAAAGCAATGAGACATAAGCATCTGAAATCTATCTTCCAGTGACGCAAGAAACTTCTTGAGGCTCATTGGGCTATTCATGATGCACAAACTGCTAGAAATAGAGGAGTTGCAAAATACCATGAGCGAATGTTGAGGGAATTCTCAAAAAGAAAAGATGATGATATGTTAGAAACACGTTTTCTAAGGAAAACGGATTTCTATATTATCACTATTATTAGGTTTTATTAAATATGCTTAGTAGTCTTTTAGTAGAATTATGTTTAATATTAGGTTTTCCTATCTTTCGTTATAAATATGTACTTTGCGTTTTAGTCAGAATCAAGCAAGAACAATTATTCTGAAAAGTATCTCAAACCCCAATCTCTCTCAATTTCGTCACCTATTCCTAGGCCGTCGGCCATTCTTCTCCTCGATCCCCAATTTCCTCTTCTAAATCCCTAATCCCCAATTTTGTTCTTCCCCAATTCTATCTCAATCCCCTAAATACCTATCAATTCCCAATCTCATCAACTCGATCGTTAGAACCCTAGAAATAGGTTTCTAACACGATCGGAATAAAAGGATGGAGGCATTGAAGAATAATGATGTTGAGAGGTACAGGGAAATGCTTTTAGAGCAGCAGATGCCTGGTGAAGCATCCGAGGGATATACTGTTCTCTCGTCATTCTTAACTCAGACAGAAGAATATCTTAATAAGTTAGGAAGTAAAATAACTGCTGCTAAGAGTCAGCAGGAAGTAGAAGAGGCGGCAAATGCTGCAGCTGCAGCTGCAAGATTGCAGGTATGTGTTGTTCTCTTCAGTTTCCAGTTGCTATCATTTGGCCATCTACTTGCCTTTAAAACTTGTATTTTTGAGCTTAATCATTCCCAAATTTTCCATTTGTTAACTGAAGGGACTTTCTGAAGAAGAGGTGAGGGCAGCAACAACTTGTGCTGGAGAGGAAGTAATGAATGATAAGAAACCGATTTACAGAAATGAATGCCCCTAGGGAGGGTTCATCTGTTAGCAAGTAAGCTATTATTTTATTTCTATGCTTCCTTTTGTTTCTCTGATGAGGAGGTTTGTGATGTTCTTAAGGTCATTATTATGTCTGATTTGCTACTATTTAGGCTCCTCGTGTGCAGTTCCTGAAACCTGTGTTAAAGTGTTGTAGTTTGGGCCATGTTTGAAAATGGATGGTTAAGGTAGTGTTAGGGTTACATGTGATCAGATATAACCTTTGTGACTCATCCCTTTCATATGTAGATATTACAATCTCGCTCATGTAGTGAATGAAAGAGTCACAAGACAGCCTTCAATGTTGAGAGCTGGAACGTTGAGATATTATCAGCTTGTAGGTTGCTACTCTTAGTGTATCTCACTTTTTTTTTTGGTGAATTGCATCTCTGTTTCTGCTTGGGAATTATGACTTTTTTCTTTGCTATAATTTTTTCTAACTGGGTGTGTGTAATTGTACGTTATTGTGTCGGTCAATGCCAGGTTGGATTGCAGTGGATGCTGTCTTGGTATAACAACAAGCTGAATGGGATCTTAGCTGATGAGATGGGTCTTGGAAAGACTGTACAGGTCGTGTACTTGTGCTCAATTCAGAAGGATATGGGCGGATGCAGTGAATTGATCTCTTATCCACGAGTTTCTCTTGCTAGTAGTTGTACATCTTGGTACTTGCTTCTCAATACTCTACTTTCTTCTACCTCCTCATATCAGGTCATGGCATTGATTGCCCATCTGATGAAATTTAAAGGAAACTATGGACCGCATCTTATAATCGTTCCTAATGCTGTTTTAGTGAATTGGAAGGTCAGTTATCTCCGAAATCAATGTTCACGATGCGTGTGTGTGTTCCTGTATATGTTTTTTGGGTGATGAATCTCTATGGCTAACCATCTTCGTTACACAGAGTGAATTCCACACCTGGCTGCCATCTGTGTCGTGTATCTTTTATGTTGGGAACAAGGAACAAAGATCCAAATTATTTTCTCAAGTAAGTTAAGTGATGCATACTGAATGGAAACCTCCAGGCTGAGGAAAAGTTGATAAACAACTTTTATTCTCTGTAGGAGCTTTGTGCCTTGAAGTTCAACGTTCTTGTCACAACATATGAATTTATCATGTACGATCGGGCAAAACTTTCCAAAGTTGATTGGAAATATATCATGCACAGAGGATGAAGGATAGAGAATCAGTTTTGGCCCGTGATCTTGACAGATATCGATGCCAGAGGCGCCAGCTTCTCACTGGAACACCATTGCAGGTTCGTTATTTTGGGAATGCATTTTTCTTGTGTAGCCTAAAGCTATCAGCAGAACACTTACCATGCTCACTGGACCGCTGCTTTTTTATTTTTTTTTATTTATATATATATATATATAAAGGACTGCTGCTTTCTTAAAATTGTGCATTCATGATATAATTTCGAATGACTTGGGTATTGGCACGTCCACTTCACAATTTGCATGACTAGTTACCAACGAGATTCACCTGATGCTCCATAGAAATTGATTGCCGCAGTGCACACTTCTTTCTCGCTAGCTTTGCTTATAGGGAGGACTAAAATTTCCTCGATCGAATTATCTCTTGCATCCACATAAACTGAGAGACAAAGAAATCTGAAAATTATGTGATAGGTTAAGCTGCTCCCAGGCAAACTATTATGATGTATCGTGTATTTTCCTTCCATCCCATGCCATTTTTTCTTGCTTCCTTTTGTGATTTGCACAAATAGATTTAGCTTGCACTTGCAAATGTGTTCTCAGTTGGATGTTCAAGTCATATAAATTTTTTGAAGTGTTATTTGGACTTTTTGAAGGGGAAATCAGCGTTCTTGCTAATATCTATGACAAGCCTTATGTTTATAGGCAACTTGAGGATATATTCATTTAGAGTTGTACCAAATGTTGACATGGGATTCAGGTTTTCCTGTGTTCCTATGGGGCTTGGGGATGCATAATTACTGATGTATGGTCTAGCAATGAATTTGAGAATGGATACAGCAGGAGCTAATGACTTTTTTTCTTGTGCAGAATGATTTAAAGGAACTTTGGTCACTTTTGAATCTGCTGCTGCCAGAAGTTTTTGACAATCGGAAAGCATTTCATGATTGGTTCTCAAAACCGTTTCAGAAGGAAGGCCCTACACATGAAGCAGAGGATGATTGGCTTGAGACTGAGAAGAAGGTCATTATCATTCACCGACTTCATCAGATTTTGGAGCCTTTCATGCTTCGGCGTCGTGTAGAAGATGTGGAAGGTTCACTGCCAGCAAAGGTAATGTATTATGCAGTCAAACTTGATGCTGCATATTGTTTCTGTACCCCTCACATTCTGTATAACAATTCTAGTGCTTTTCATTTGTAGGATTCCATTGTCTTGAGATGTAGAATGTCAGCATTCCAGAGTGCAATTTATGATTGGATTAAATCTACTGGCACTATTCGAGTGGATCCTGAGGATGAGAAGGTGAGGGTCCAGAAAAGTTCAATATACCAGGCTAAGGTGTATAAACTCTAAATAACAGGTGTATGGAGCTTGGAAAAACTTGCAATCATCCATTGCTTAATTATACATATTTGAATGACTGCTCCAAGGACTTCCTTGTTAGATCTTGTGGGAAACTGTGGATTCTGGATAGGATCCTCATGAAGCTGCATAGAACAGGACATCTGGTACTGCTCTTTAGTAGTATGACAAAACTTCTGGACATAATGGAGGAGTATTATTTGCAATGGAGGAGACTACTATACAGAAGGATTGATGGTACAACTAGGCTTGAAGATCGTGAGGCAGCTATTGTAGAGTTTAATAGTCCTAATTCTGATTGCTTCATCTTCTTGCTCAGTATTCGTGCAGCTGGAAGGGGGCTTAATCTTCAATCTGCCGACATCCTGATCGAATTGGACAGAAAAGGGAAGTAAAAGTCATTTACATGGAGGAAGCACTAGTCAACAAAATCCCTAGCCATCAGAAAGAGGATGAATTTGGAAGTGGAGGTTCCGTTGATCTAGAAGATGACCTGGCTGGTAAAGATAGATAGATACATGCATAAGGAACAACATTCAACAATATAAGATTGACATGGCTGACGAGGTTATCAATGCTGGGCATTTTGACCAAAGAACAACACATGAAGAGAAGAGAGACGCATGACTTTGGAAACACTGTTGCATGATGAAGAGAGGTATCAGGAAACAGTGCATGATGTTCCGTCACTTCAACAAGTGAAGAGGAAGTTGAGTTGTTTGATCAAATGGATGAAGAACTAGACTGGGAAGAGGAGATGACCAGGTGCCTGAGTGGCTTCGAGCCAGTTCTAACGATGTGAATGTTGCAATTGCGAATCTCTCCAAGAAACCATCAAAATATATGTTATCTGCTGGAAATTTGGTTGTACAAGGCAGTGAAAATGAGCCCCGAAGGGGGCGACCTAAGGCAAACAAGTCTCCAAATTACAAGGAAATTGATGACAATAATGGAGAATATTCTGATGAGGGAAATAGATATTCTGCTCATGCTCATGATGAAGAGAGAGAGATTAGAGAATTTGTAGATGATGAATCTAGTGGTGCTGGTGAGGCACAAGCAATCCATAAGGATCAGTCAGAAGATGAATTTCCAGCATGTGATGGTGGGCTTCTGATGGTACGTTTTTGATTCTGCACTAGTATTCTTTTATGATATTATTATTAAAAAATTTACCCCATCCCTTCACTATCTTCTGTTTTTGTTCTCCAGCCAGATGAGGGGGAGATAGCGATGTCTGGAGATTCTCACATGGATCGCCAGCAATCAGGAAGTTGGATTCATGAGCGTGATGAAGGTGAAGATGAACAGGTCTCGCAATCCAAAATAAAATGGAAACAAAGCATTCGGCTTCGACCCCGCCATATTGTAGACAAGACAGATGAGAAGCTTGTTAACGAGGTTCCACGTGGAGATTCTTGTCCTTCACCTTTCCAAGTGGAACACTACACAAGTATCAACAGTTGAGGAGTAATCTGGAAACCAGAGAAATAAATGCTGATCAAACCGATTCTTCGAAAATCAGGCGAAATTTACCCACTAGGAGAGCAACTAGTGCATCAAAGTTGCATGCATCATCACCAAAATCAGGGAGGATGAATTTGCAGTCCCTTCCCTCTGAAGATGTTGCAGAACATTCTAGAGATAGCTGGGATGGCAAAGGGACAGGTCTAAGTGGTACTCCAGTGGTGGGAAATAAGATGTGCAGAAAAGGGTACGTCTTTTCTATAGTAAAGTTTGGGAACTGGATCGCCATCAGTTTTGGTTCCTAAGCTTCCAATAACTCATTTTCTTATGCTATCCAACATATATATAAACAACGAATATGATAATGATTGACTGACTTGGAACATGGTTGCTTGTTTTTTCCTAGGGGAAGCTGTTTCGTAAGAAAAAATGGGGGAACTTTTCCTTTTCTTGGCTGGGATTAGAGTTTAAATAATTATACCGTTCTTAGTTTGTAGTTTGTTTGGGCTAACTTAGTTGCCTGTGAAGTCGAAATATGCTAGTCATCCATGTCTTTCCTGGGTCATAACCATTTGCATTCACGTTTATCTTTGCAAGAGTCATGTATTTCAACTATTAATGTGATGTTCGATCGTTCATTTGTACTTCCCATGAAGCTTTTGTTCAAATTTTGTAGTAACGATTTGGTAAAGTGTAATTTGAAATTTATGTGGATAGCGAGAATGCTACTTTGAACAAATTATTGGAAGTTGTTTGGTGATGTGTTCGTCTATGTTTAGTGCATTGTAAATCATCATTTAGTAGTTCACTGTGTGGTTGTGTTGTCATTTATAATTGTTTATTTAAAAAGCTGAGTTCATTTGCCTCACTATTTTCACAAAGGGCAAATTCTCCATAGCTCGTGGTTGAAATTTAGCTCTTAAGATGTTTTGGATTATCATTCTCTTCATTTTGTCCTTCTCTGCACTTTAGGTGTTTTCTACTGTCATCTGAGCTCACACGAATTCTTTCTTGTAGCAGTGTAAAAATGTGGTTGTCAAGTTTCAAAGGAAAGTTGAGAAGGAAGGTCAGCAAATTGTCCCTCTCCTAACTGATCTATAGAAGAGGATTGAAGCAGGCTGTATGACTGGTGATGGAAATAATCTCTTGGATTTAAGGAAGATCGAGCAGCGTGTCGACAGTTCAGACTATGGTGGATTCATGGAGCTTGATTTTGATGTTCAATTCATATTAAAAGGGTGCAATGCAGCTCTATGGTTTCTCTCACGAGGTATGCTTGCCATTTGGCTTTTCAATGGTTCCTTGGTTGTAGCATCGTGTGGAGGATTTTGCCATGATAATTGTTAGACTCATCGACTAGCTAAATATCTCTTTTTTTGTCAAGTTTAAAGGCTTGGGCTGCCGGCAAGTAACAATTATTTATCCTTTTAAGTATAAGTTGCAGTTTATATCAGATTGCATGCCCTATGACTTCAATCATTCGTGTAACGATAGGAATTTGTTTTTGTGGCTTTATATGTGGAGAAATTTCTGGAAGTTGAACATGTGATTTTAGAGTTATCCTTGATCCAATATAATTTTTAACGGAAGGAAAAAGTCTGAAGTTTGTGTGTTTACATGATAATGCAGGTTAGATCTGAAGCAAGAAAAGTTCACGATCTATTCTTTGATCTCTTGAAGATAGCTTTTCCAAACACAGATTTTCGGGAAGCCAGAGGTTCACTGTCGTTTTCTGGGCCAGCACCACCTACCTCCAATGCTGTTCCATCTCAAAGACGGACAGTGGCAAGCCAAAGCAAAATTAAAGACAAGCAAACAAATGAGGCAGATACCGATGCCCATAAGCCAATTCCTCAAAGAGAGTCTTCTAAACTTGGAGAGGACGCAAGGATGTGTGTCCAGATTCCTCTGAGGGAAACTAGGCAGCAAGGGAATGGAAGTACCGGGAACCGAGAACAGCAGCAGGATGATTCCCCGTTGCACCCTGGGGAGTTGGTTATGTGCAAGAAGAAGAGAAAAGATCGGGAAAAGCCTAGGGCTGGATCAAGTGGCCCTGTTTCCGTCCCTAGCTAGCATTGGGGCAGGTTTGATCGGCAGAGAAGGAAGACCGAGTCAGCAGCGGCCATAAGCCACAACATGCATGGATTAACCAATCTCAAGCCGTAAATAATAATGGCGCTGCTGGCGGTGGTAATGCTGGGTGGGCAAATCCTGTGAAGAGTTTAAGGACTAGACGCAGGTAAACCAAGGCCGAGCCATTTGTAATACTTATATATATAGGTTTGTAAGAGTGTAAATGTAGAATATGTAATGGAAGAGTTGGTGGGGTGTTCAAGTTGTAACGTATTAGCCACACAGGAATTTGCGCCCAAGAAACTAGATTTTAGGTACGTATTGCTCACCCCGAACTCCCCTCATTGTACACAAATTACCACTAAAAAAATCATTAAATACCACATTGATTATTTAAGAGTGGTAGTGATTTATAAGGCCAACTTAATCATATTAGTTAAATTGGTTTAAGCTGGGTCTAAATGATGGTATTTTGGGCTTCATACCAGGTACCTCAACACACACCACTTGACCCACCAAACACCCACCCGTCACGCAAGAGGGGTCAAGTGCCAAACGTGTTGACACCCTTCAACATCAACCACCCAAGTCGGCATGGTGGGGGCAAAATTTGGCTAAGTGTTAAGACCCAACCACCAGGGGGGTCAAGCCTGATGTCATGCAAAGGGGTCATCGCGAGTACGACTAGACATGATGGGAAAGAAGGCGAAAATTGGAACTAGGTCTCGTGCAAGGTCATCAAGTTTCTAAGTGGTAAGCCATGTATATCATCACATGGTAGACCACCTTGTCAAGACCCTACAAGTATGATGTCACCCCCAAGGGGGTCAGTGTGCATCCATCAGACCCCAAGCACCGTACTGTCGAGAGTGGTTAGCACGAGTATCACCAAGCTTGAAGCCCTCACTCGCAAAGCAAGACCCCTTCATGGCACAAGGGGCTAGCTATCAAGTGAAGTCATCAAGGTGCAAGGTATCAAGTGGCAAGCAAACAAGGCAGTCAAGGCGTCAAGCAAGCTACATCAAGCACCAAGCAGTGGAGCAGTGGTTACCAAGAGGAGGTTACACGACGGTTACAAGGGATGACTATAAATAAGAGAAACGAAAACGAAGCGAGGGTTCCACAACCAAACATTTGACAACACATGTCAAAATTTATCCTTTCTCTGCAATGTAGCCATAGTCTTTAGTTTCTGGAGCTCTCACCGAACCTCCATAGGAGTAGGAGTAATTAACTTAGTTTGTTCCCAAAAAACCATCAAAAAAATCAAACACCCTTGTTCGAACATTGTTCGGAGAGGAGTGAACCGTGTTATTAATCGTTGTTCAAGAAGTCAAAAGTGCATTCATTGAGTTCAAATACCAGATTTTCCTCGCCGGAAAACATAGAGAGAACTGACCCAAGTTTCGTGTGAGTGAGATGCACGGAACACATGATGTCTTAGAGAAGATCAAAAAGTGTCGTGAAAAACTTAAAGAATGGAGCAAATGCACTTTTCCAAAATTCTCAAAGCAGCGTGAGCGATTTCTCCGTGCTATGTGTGCTCTATAGAGGGCTCAAAGACCCAACACCCACAGCAGGAGTAAACAACTTGAAATGGAGATGGAAGAGCTGGAGGAACGCGGAGGAAGAGTATCAACTTGAAATGGAGATAGAAAGAGCTGGAGGAATGGGAGGAAGAGTATCAGAAACAGAGATCTAGAGCTGACTGGCTGCGTGATAGTGCCAAAAATACGACTTTTTCCCCACAAAAGGCAAGGAATACCATAAGGCGTGTAAAAAATGAGGGTGGACAAGTGATGACCCATGAGGAAATTTATGCTTTGATGACCGATTACTTTCGGGTACTCTTTGAAGTTGGCGAAAGGCCATCTACAACCCCAATTCTGAATCCAATCCAATTCTGAAGTTGATGAGCTACTACGCCTTTTCAGCCGAGAAGAAATATTTTATGTTCTAAAGCATCTGAGGTAGCGTAATGAGCCAGGGGATGATGTGGTGGCCATGGTTACAAGAATCTTAGAAAGAGGAGAAATGGAGCAGTGACTAAACCATACTCTGATGGCTCTGATTCCGAAGGTGAAAAATCCCATAACACCTAAGAAGTACATACCAATAAGTCTTTGCAATGTCATTTATAAGATTGTGGCGAAGGTCCTTGAAAATAAACTAAAACCTTTGTTGGATCAAGTGATTTCGCAGGAACATAGTGCGTTTCCCGGGTAGAGTAATTACTGACAATATAATAGCGCCTTTTGAATGCTTTCACACAATAAAAAAGAAGAAGGGTGAACAATTTTTTTGTGTGTGGCGAAGGTGGATATGACTAAGGCCTATGACAGGGTCGAGTGACACTTCCTTGAAGCAATGATGAGTTGGATGGGATTTGCTGGTAGATGGATGCACCTAACTATGATATGTGTGCATAGGATCACTTACTAGATCATCATCAATGGGCATAAGGCATAGATGATCACACCAACCGGAGGAATATGACAAGGAGATCCACTCCCACGTATCTATTTCTCTTGTGTGCTGAAGGGTTATCTGTAGGAATTCGGAAGGCGGTGCAGGAGAAAAGACTAAGAAGGTTGGAGCCGACCATGGAAGCACCAACCATCTCCCACCTTTTTTCCCCGCTGACGACATTGTTTTCTTTTACAGGGCAACTGAACAGGAGAGTAGCACCTTGAAAAAATCCTGAATGCATATGAGAAGAACCTGCCAGATGGTGCACTTCCATAAATATGAAGTATCTTTTATGAAATGAAACAAATATTAGATTTTTAGGGATTTTGACCAAGTATGATACAACCCTCGTACGTTGTTTCCAGAGTCCGCCAGATTTCGCGAGCGGTTTCGCAGTTCTCCACCTTGTCAGCTTCGTCAGGTACCATGGTGGATTGGAGAATATGCATTGGTCGTTGATTGAGCTTGGCGCTCTTTTTCAGGGCGGCGGACCACATATGTTTTTCGTCAGCATTCATCGCAATCGGACCGTCACGAGCAACAAGCTAGAGGTCTTCCTCGACGCCCCACAGAAACGTCTTCATACGTTTCTTCCATGCTGTGAAATTGGAGCCAGTGAAGAGTGGTGGATGATAGTAAGAAGCTTGATCGTAACATGAGGAAGCCATCGTCTGGATCGGCCTTGGCAGTAGTCAACTTCTTCAAGGGTGGGCTTTGATACCGCTTATGAAATGATACAATAGAGAGGGAAGGGAAAACGAGGAAGATGAAACCAGAAGGGCTTTAGTTTCTTGTCAAATGACAATCAAGAAAATGGGCTCTAAAGTGCAAAGACCAAAATATATTATCAACAAAAGACAAGAGAAATAGAACTTGGGCGTAAGCTTCAAAGCCCAACAGAGAAATATAACAAGACTAACAGCAAGCTACTCCTCTTCTTACTTGACCTGTCAAACCAAACAGAATAGAAGCAAAACAAAGATGATGAATACCAATGCAGAGCAAGAAAAGTAAGAGCAGCATCAAGAAAAAGAACACACGATTTTAATGAGATTTCCAAACTACTAGTCACTACTCGTCTCGGAAATAGAACTTGCTAATTTCCGAGGGACTCTTTTTTATTAAGATTTTTTCTATCAAACAAACGAATAAAAAACAGAATAACGAATCTGTAACACCAATCGACCACCAGCCTAGATCACAATTCGATATGTATAAACGCTCAACAGCTAAGAACCTCTTCCCCTCAGCTGTTGATAACCTTGTAACTAAAAGGCCAGCCCTCTACCACTCTCTTTTTCTTCGTTACAATGATTGCCTAGACTCTCAAATTATACGGTATATAAAGAGGAACAAAGTGTCCGTTGGTGAAGATCACGCTAGTCGTTGCCGATTTTCCGCCAGGATTGCTTCTTATGAGGAAACCTTCCTTTGTTGACTGATTCTTGAAAATAGTAGAACTTACCAAAAGGAGATCGATCGACTAGTCTCTTATTTCGTTCATCAATCTTCTCCAAAATGAGAGATTGACGATTGATCTATTTCCTGCAAAAGACAACATATGAAAACTACACACAATGCAAGAAATATATCCCACCAGAATGATATTGCTATTAAGATAAACAAAGACCAAACAAGTTCCAGCATAGACTATTGCAAAGTTCAAACACCACAGAGTAAAAATCAACAAAGTTTGGGCACAAACAGTGCAAGACAGCGAGTTTCAAGCCAATCAACACAGGGACAGACAAAACATAAAACAACCAGTCTGAAACACACTCTCAGGAGAAACAAAATATGTAAAAAATGATCTTCATTGTTGGAGCCAAAATATTCTTCATCAGTCTCATAAAGCACCACAAGATCTGCATGAAATGAATCTTCAAAAGCCGAGTCATCCTCTTCCTCTGGTTCCACATCTTTAGGTTCTACCTTCGCCTCATCGTCAGCAATTACATTAGCAGCATCGTCCAACATTTGGTCGATAGACAAATAATGAGTAGGAGAGATGGTTCAAAAAGAAGATAGGTCAATTTCTAGACGAGAGAACAAACGGGTGATGAGGGGTCCAAATGGCAGTGGGCCAGGGAAGTGGACATCACCAAAGGAGAGCATGGAGCCAAAAACCAAGTGAGCATAGTTGAGAGGCACATGGGCAATAACATGGCTCATAATCCAGAGGTCTAAAGGGGTAACTCGGTCAAGAGACTGAAAACATGGGAGAAAGACCCTGGTGGGTACGAAATGAAAAGCATGAACACGGGGTTGCAAGACATTTACAAGAAGAGACAGGGCAGGACCAGGATGGACACCCGTGAGACGCACGAACTCCTTGGAAATATTAAAATTGAATCTCCACAACTCAGTTTCATGAGCAATGGTCTCACCTAGAGTTGGTATGACTCGCTCCGACTATCACAATAAAATCCCACCTAAGGACCAAGTATAAACCTTATATGGGTGCAATATAGGGCAAGTATGTTTAAATATACCTCGATTGTTTGAAACATTATCTAGAGAATTAGTTTTGGTGAAAAAAGGTCTAAAGCTAAATTACTTTGCAAAGGTAAAATGGATTTGACACTAATTGAGTAGGCTTCACCCGGATGTTGCTCCCCTAGCTAGCAATTATGACTTGAAGGATCGAATGACCGTGTGTGGTTAGGGGGTTACAAACCGTAGGGAAGTTTAACAAGTAGTCAAAGCTACCCTCTTAGTCTCTAGGTCGAGGAAATGGGATACGATCCAAGCCACTAATGCGACCCTCTCAACCTATTGACTAAGGAATGATTGTCAAACAAGTAGCCAAAGCTACCCTCTTTGTCTCTAGGTCGAGGAAATGGGATACGATCCAAGCCACTAATGCGACCCTCTCAACCTATTGACTAAGGAATGGTTAGACTTCACCCAAGAAAACCCAGCATTCAAGCCTCTTTCAAAGATGGGAAGGG